ACATATACTCATTGTCAGGGCTGACACATCATTATGGACACAACATGCGCATTTATAAACATTGTCTGACCAAATGTCTCACATTGAATTCAGTTTACCATCAATTAGGTGAACATAAATGTAATTTTTTTTGCAAACAAAGCTCTCACAAATCTGGCTATATACAATCCCTGCCTGTCCTAGCACAGGATAATATCACAGGACCGTATGTCATTCAGTCATCTTCTACACCGCGTGTCCTTAGAATGGGGGGGGGGGTGCACATGACACGAGGTGCATCTTGGACTCGTCGCTAGCCAATAGCGGAAGCTGACGCACTAACAAACTACCATTCATCCTCACATTGACATCAACTGCAATTTAGAGTCTCTAAACAGCCAGACCTCCTTTTTAGACATTGATTTTTTTCCAGAGGAACTCATCCAAAATATTCAGAATATCCAGAAGCGAGTGGAGTGACAATCACGGCTTCAGAATCGGGTTAAACTACAAACATAGCGAACGCTCTTGGCTCTCGTACATCTCCGTTGGTCATGTCGTTGGTTTCCAATGCTCCTATTGGATGATACTTTCAACATACTTTCATTTTCACTTCATTGCTTCTGCATTGACCTGAAGCAACTATATTAAAAGGTACATGACATGTGGACTTGTCTGAGGTCGGTCAGCCGTGTCGTGACCTGGAGGCTCAGAGACAGCAGCTGGCAGTGGGGAGCTGTAAAGGGCAGCAGTGTGTGTGCACAGTGCGGCTGGGATGCTGCCAAACTGTCAGAGAGTGTTTTAGGTAGCGTCAAGCGGGGAAGATTATTAGTCTAACCAGAGCTGATGTTGTAATCATCGGGTAGGGAATCCGTCTGGATGAACAACCTAACAATTTGTGGGTTAACGTTACAAAAAAGCTCTTATTTTATATAAAGGAGTACATTTGCATTTGTCCGCCAGGGTTTTTGTTCACGCACATTTCTAAGCAAAGAAACATTTATTTTGTTATTAGTTAAAAGTGACTACTTAAAGACCTCCTGCCTTGTCGAATATGAGCCAGGTTTGGGGCCTTACCCAAAACAGCTGCTGCATATTGCCTTCCAATAAGGGTTTCACCAAATCATGGATGGTGTTTTAAAAAACGAGTTCAGCCAACCACACTAAACGTCGGTACTTCAAGCGGAAAGTGATGTCCAGCGTCGGCATCGGCTCAATCTGAAGGTATGTGGTTAGAACAGCTTACCAGAACTCTGCTCTCATCTCTGCTCGAGGCCATCAGCTCGATGCCGCTCACACGCCCACACCGCACCCTGCGTCTGAGCGGGCCCGTGGGGGAAGTTTGCCTTCAGGGCTGAAAGGGTTTATTATAATCACAACCATGACACTTTTCTAAAACCTTCCAGAGTAGGTATGTTGCCTAAATCTAAAGGACCGTTTCTGGCACAAAGCCCTCAAAGCAAACTCCTCCCATGTGCACTGAACTGTCAGCAGTCGAGTTGCATTATGGGTAATGTGTGCACTCTTTGCAATCTCTGCTTTTGCTCTATCAATTTTTCATGACTCTCTTCTCTTTGTTAGTGTAACAATGTGATCATTAGAGTACTCTTCTAATCATTGTTGATACTCAAACTATTATATTTGAAGCCGTTTCTATTCATCATGGCGTGTCAAAGACCCAGCGAGATTTATTTAACAGTGTTAAGAAATATTTCGACACATATGATATAAATATATTTACATAGAAAACTTTACAGTTTGTTGTCGTCTAAGTATTGCCCCTTTCGTGGCCTCCAGGCGCCAGAAGGGAGAGAAGGCTTGTTAAATTAATTTCTGCATCTTCTCTCCTGTCGGCATCGATGCAATGCAGACTTTTCTCTGTATTGATTTGAATGTGATTTGAGAGGTGGCCCCCACAGCTCAGTTGGCTCCATAAACATCACGTCCGGTTTCTCGATCTCTGATCTCAGCGTGTCAGAGATAACCCTATGACGGGGGGGGACTGATGAGTGGAACTCTTGGTGACCTCACTGGCCCCGTCAGCCTCGGCAGGAGAAGGCTGTCTTCTCTTTTTGTCGTCTTCGTTAACAGCAACGTTGGTGTTACAGAATGTGCTGCCTTTTGGCCACGGCAGGCAGATGATGTGGCAGCGGCTGAGGGGTGAATTTAATACGAGCCTTGACAGGCGCCTCCGTTTTCGTGAGTGACGACGCCTACATGTTTGTCGGTGAATCGCAAAAAAAAGGGGGGCGAGACAGGAGAAAAGGGGAGAGCGTAAAGGGGGAGGGAATTAAGGGGACCAAATCAGGATTTCAACTGGACAACAGAGGGCGACTCTTCTGGTTGCATCTACGTAAGTCCATCAGAAGATAACCCTCCTTCTCATTTGAGTCATTACTTCAGTAAACACCTGAGAAAACACCACACTCGAGGCTTCATAACAGCTGTACACACACACCAAAGGGTGACATCACTGTGAGTGTGTCCACTTCTTTTATACAGAGTATGATCCACGAGCTGATACCAGGGCAGGGACTTTTGTTTGTCTTTGTGGCTTCATGGCTCATATTTGTCAGGGTGAATCACGTCAGGTCAAGCTAATGGAGTCGCGGGCTGATACTAAACTGGTCCGTCAGTACTTTAAACTCAAGCCAACGGCGCTGCATTCAATTCACTTCTATCTTCATTGATCGAGCTGCAGGGAATCTGCTATTCATTATAGTTGCAATTCACTGCTAATCCTTAATTGGTTGTCTGAAAAATGATGATAACAATTAGGTTAAAATTCTAATAATGTTTCAGTCGTTTTTTTTATTATCATTCTTGAAAAGTTTAGATTACCTCGAGATCCTTCTCGTCTAATTTAATCCGAACTGACCGTGCAAGTGGAGCTGCTGAGGTCAGTAAACGACCAAACGTGCACAACGTTCATTGTGTCTTTTTTCTTATCTTACTGAAGGATCCCCCCTTCCTGCCGGAGGCTACAGCTCGGCTAACGGTCTTCATCGCGCGCTCCGATGTTTTGTTTTACCTGCCATAGTGTTTTATTGATTTCCTTTGAGTCACTTCCTGCAAAAGCAGAATTGATATTGACTTTTTTTTCTTCCATTAAAGATAATGTTTTCTGAATGTCGGCTTCCTCCCCCGATTCTGCTTACTTATGTTATCTTACACAAATACACTCTTACAATTTTAAAATCTCGCAATTTCTATTCTTACAAAAAATTGTAATTCCGCTTTATAGGTCAGTCTGGATTGAAGTTGCATTCACGCTATGCAGTTGGATAACATTTTGTAGCAAAAACTGTTGTTGTGGTTTGAAAAGACTAAACCCAAAAGTCTATCATTATTATTATTACTCATCAGTATTAATGATCTAATATCATATTTAAAGCCCTCGTATTCTGTTATACCGCAACACTTTCATAGCAGCGGTGATTGAGAGATGATGGAGGTGCCCCTCCAAAAGAAAACCTCTGGCCCGTCACAAAGGCAGTCATTACTAAATTATTGTATGAACCCTTACAAGAGCTATTAGATGCAATGACGAAGAAATGAGAAGCTCCAAAAACACCATCAATCTCTTGGCTTAATCTGTGGCTAACCAGTAAATCATTCTTTCTGTTCATTTAAAATCTAATGACTTTAGAGAGCAGACGGAAGGTGAGGCAACCCAGACAGGTTTTTTTTTCCCTCTTTTGCATTTGCTTTAACCGCAGTCATATTAGAAAACCAAAAGTATGAGGAAAGTCCTTAATTGCTTGGCCTGCCATCACTGTCATTCTAAATCAATGACATGATGATGAATGGCAGCCCTTCACACACATTTCTTCCAGCGCCCCGTGCGTTTAATGTACTCGCCGCGTGTCACGGCCTCATCCGTGTTTTCCAATACAAGCGCTGTGTGAATGAACCGTTGCCTTCCACACGCCGCACTCAAAGCCACTTGTCCTATTAAACTATTTCCACCCGGCATCCTCCGAGACATTTTAAGCCTCAATAAAGATGAGACTGTGAATGTTTATTCATGGTTTGTATTTACAGGTTACGCTCTCATTACCAGTGTTACGACACTGTGTCCTTTGATCTGTGACAATGTTTTTGACAAAATTGTACTGAAGTATTTGCCATGGCATTGCAGCCATATAGTCTGTGTAATTGTATCTGACGCTTGGTTGTACCCCTAATTTTACGTATGTTATAGAATTGCAAATCGGATATGTTATTCACACTGACTGAACTGAAAACCCCTTTTTATGGCTGCAAGGTAATTATTTAGCACGGGGATCCAGCATCTGGAAGGCTTCCCCCCTCACTCTGCACCTCTGTAGCTTACATCAGAAGATAATAATGCGCTTTTAATCATACGACATTTCAATGCCAAATCCCAGTTCATTTATTTTGCTCGGTTGTTCGTTATGCATCGATGTGTTTTACCCTTTCAACATTTCCATATTGCATATCCTTCTGCCATTTGGGAATGACATTTGTCTGTAGTTAGAGTTGAAGAGTTGAAGTTGTCAGTGCTCCCTTGTGGGCAAACAATGTATCGTATGTAACATACATCTCTTCTTCAACAGTTTAGTTTAGTTTTGATTCTGATCATCGAAAATTAACAAGCAAAAGTATTTTTTGTTGCTTGAACTTAAAATAATTCAATATTTGTTAAATAATCAAACCTAATCTCACCAGAACAGTAACCATGGTAACGGTACACAGTATAGATCGTAACACGCTTTAAAGCAATTATCACTTGTAATAATAATAATAATAAATAATAATAAAGTGTCCAAATTGATTAAAGTTCACTGACCTAATAAAAAAAACATTTTGTTTACTAAAACTAGCAGAAATGACACATTTGCAGTTACAGTAAAATGCGCTAATAATCATCGGGGCGCATAACGGAGTGCGCTTGTCGCGCCGCACACAGCGCGCTCCCATCGCGCGGCTCAGCGGCAGACAAACAGGGAGGGGGGAGAGGGAGAGACAGGCGGTCTCATCGGAGACAGGCGGACAGAGCTGTGGCGCAGGAGGAGGAGGAGGAGGAGGAGGAGGAGAGGTGCACCGGGAGGACAAGCTGCCTGAGAGAAAAAGAAAACAGGCGCAAAAAGCAAGGAAGAAGAGGAGCAGATCCACGGGAGATCACTGAGGGGAGAGGAGAAGTCATTCGGAGCAGAACAAGGACACTGAGGGGGGAAAGTGCAAACGAAGCCTTGCCGGGCGGCGGGGAGAAGTGGAAAAGAAGACGAGGAGGAGGAGGAGGAGGAGGAGGAGACGCAGCCTGACGGGAGGTCGGGCTTTTAGAGCTCTACTGGCACGAGAGCACAGCGGAGGAGGAGGAGGAGGAGGAGGAGGAGGAGCGCGAGGGCGAGTTGATGGATTCGATACCGGGAGAGTATTTTTAGAAGGAGCGGGAGACACGAGTGAGGAATATCGAGATTAGAGATGCTGCCTTTGAGTGGGGGAGAAAAAACTAGGGAGCAGAAGGAGGAGAAGGAAGAAGAAGAAGAGAGAGTAAAAGGACACGGAGAAAAGAGGGAGAGATGTTGAGATCGGTGTCACAGAAGAGATTATCCCTGGTCTGGTTTCCCCCCGCAGGAAAGTGAGTGTGTGGGTCTGTTTACTTGCGCCTCCTTCTCCATGTGAAACGCGTGTTGGTGTGTGTCTCTCACTGTGACTGTTGCGCGCGGAGAAGCGGGTCTCCTCTCCTCGCGCGCAGCTGCCCCGTGGTTTACCTGCAGGACTTAAGAGATGGAAGCCATGTGCGGCGCGAGGCGAGGAGCACACCAGTGACCCCCCCCCCCCCCCCCCCCCCCTTCCTCTCAAAGAGCACTGGATACTCTTGAATAACATTGACAAGGAGCCCAAAAGAACACACTCCCGTAACTCAGGAGAAGAGAAACTACACCGCTGGAAACAAGGCAAGCCCCCCTCCAACTTACTGCACCACACCGACCAAACCCCCCCTGCGCTGTCGTCACGTTAATTTCATTACCTTCTCTTCCTTCATTTGCTTTTTTTTTTCACCCCCTCCCTGCCTAACTCTTGGTATTTTGTATTCCATCCTCTCCTCTGCCTCTCCCCTCCCCTCCCTCTCCTTCTTGCCTCCGCGCTCTCTGTCTCATCCTCTCTTGTCTGCTGTCACGCCGGCTGCAGTCAGTCATGTAGAAGCCACCTGACTCGGAGCACATTTGCCCATCTACATTTATTTTTTGCCCCCCGCCACCCCTCTTCCCCCGCTGAGCTGGATGATTGGCGCTTAGCGCTCTCGGATAGAGGGACCATGGAGAGATGACCAACAAGTAGCTGCAGCCAAGTTAATCCGAGCCCCACCAGTGGCGGAAACACGCTGATTACCTTTGGGTGGGGGGGTGGGGGGGCGTTTGCGGGTACTCGGCCCGAAATTTAGACTCTCTACAGTTAAGACCGACGCAGATCCAGGTGTGGACTACAACAGTGGATTTATCCTGGAGCTACATGTGGGCTCCGGCCCCTGAGGCCTCGCCGGGAAATGAAGCCTTTCCCGCGGCTGTAGGAGCGCTGTGGGCAGCAATGGCCCTGGAGGGGCGCTGTCTCCGCCGGGGATCCCCCGCCATGCTCCGAAAGGGTCGTCAGCCGCGTCCTACAAAGCCAACTCTGGCCCGGGTCACTTCCACTCTGCTATCAAGGACGCGCCTGCACGGCCTGAGGCAGGTTTGCGTCCCCGGCGGTTCCGTTGGCCGCAGGGCCTTTTGGCTCCTGGCTCTCTGCACCTCGCTGGGGCTGCTCGTATCCTGGTCCTCCAACCGCGTGCTGCACTGGCTTTCTTTCCCCACGCACACGCGAGTCCACACAGAGTGGGCAAAAGAACTGGCCTTCCCTACGGTGACCATCTGCAACAACAACCCCATCCGCCTCTACAAGCTCACCAAGAGCGACCTGTATTTCGCCGGCCACTGGTTGGGCCTACTGCTGGCCAACCGCACGGTGAGGCCGATGATTCTGGACCTGCTTCAGGAGGACCGCCGGGCCTGGTTCGGGAAGCTGTCGGACTTCAGGCTCTTCCTGCCACCCAGAAACTTTGAAGGAACCAACCTGGAGTTTATGGACCGTCTGAGCCACCAACTGGACGACATGCTCCTCTCATGCAAGTACAGAGGACAGCCCTGTGGCGCTCACAACTTCTCCTCTGTAAGTCCGTTTCACTGTATTCTGGAAGCTATTTGACACGTCGGCATCAAAAACACACGTCTGACGCCTTCGGGCCCTTACGTGTTGTCTTTACTTTGCATGTTTTCCAGTTTGAAAGAGTTTGAAACGCATTACATCATGCTGAAACTGTATATTGAGGCAATCAAGACGCAGTGAACAAGCTTTGTAACTTCCCGTTATAGCGGACTAACACTACCTTTTATTGTAAATTAGCGAATGCGTTAATGAACGGGGCAGCTATTAAAATACCACCAGAGCTCTTGTTAAACGAATGACGCTAAATAAATGACGCTTTTGCAAAATATAACAACATATAAAAAAGTCGAATGAACGGTAGCCATTTAATATAACTCGGACAGCATTGTTCATATGCTAGAGGCTAAGAAAAGCTGCCTCTGCAAACCCTCCATCAAAAACTTTACAGTGCTGTGCGCCCCCCCCCTCATAGGACTTAACTGTCTGATCATTCTCACTCACATCGATTTTCTGTGTGGGCGACTGTGGGTTTGAGGATGCGGGTGCCTGCTCTGCCTTGTTGGCGCGCCGTTTTCTCTGCAGTCATGCAGAAAGTCACACAGTTTTTGAAACTTTTCCTTCATGTAATTTGATGTTCTTTTTAACTCTGGGCTAAGTCAGTGACCGGCTGGGGAGAAATGAGACACGGTACTGCATAAGTGTTGGTTGGGTCACTTGTTAGAAGCGCTGGGTTTTGTTGCAATTATCACACTTTCAGTGATTATGAAGATGGTCATCAAACGGCTTTTGATATTGTTAGAATGCCGTTCATTGTGCCTTCAACGTCAGTGAAGAAGTTCTCCTTCCCTCTAATACATTTGAATTACTCTTCCAGATCAGGGAAATAAATGACAATAAATATAATAATGATTTACTAGATATATACGCCTTGTATGCAGTCATGTACTTGCCAATTTCACAAAGCCAATGTTCGTTTACAGGTGTCTGGTGGCTCTCTTAGAAATAATTCTGGTGGTGTGGAGGTAGACAGAAGTGAGCAAACCCGAACACTATAGACTTTTCCTCATCTCTGTGTTTGAGCTATCAAAGTAGAAGTAGAACATGCAGACTCACCCTCCCCTCGTGTCCACCTCTCTCTCTCTGCTACAAAAGTCAAACTAAACCTTAAGATCAAGCCTGCTACAGGGAATATGAGCGAGGATCCATCAAGCTTTTGGCATACAGCTGACGTGAAACAACTGAAAGTAAACTTCCCCAGTCCCCAAAACGATGGGCAGGAAATGCATAGAGCGTTAGGAGCCCGGTGGATTTATGCGTGTGATATATTTTCTGAACAAAGGACTCGGTGAATTACTCCATATCTTTGGTTCTGCATCGTCCATCACAGCAGAGTTGTTGTTTTTCCTGTCAATGGTATAACAATAGAATGGCGAATGTGCAAAGTACTCTATTTATGCAGAATGCAACCTATGATCATAAATTAGGTATTACCTTGTCAGACAACATTCCCATAACCAAGTGAGCCGTGAACACTTGGAGTTGAGCGGTCCTTTGTTTGTACAGCTCATGCAGTCTATTAATATAATACATAAATAGATGGGCCTGCCATTACTACACATAAAGAAACGTGTTTGAAAGATTTAATGTGCACAACAACCTTCCTATATTCCCCCTTCCTTCCAAAACTCTTCATTCTAGCACCAGTTCTGTAAGCCTCCCTCCCAAAGTAGCCTGTCTGTTTTGAGGGACTTGTGGCAAAAGAAAATGTATTTCACAGCGGATGGTTGGTAGGTACTCCAGATACCCGGATGTTTTTCATAATAAGTGTCCTTTTATAATGTTTGGAAGGACTTTACCTGGACCTGAAGCAACATGAAAGGACGAAAAAGTCCATTCCAATCCCTAACAATTGTTGTATTCACCTTTTTTCCCGGTTGGGTGTATCCTCTGTTGCATATCCCCAGTGCCATACAAATGAACAGCCTCCTCACAACCTTCAAAAGCCACTATTCACTTACACGGCTTTTTAGAGACCCCATTATTTGGAATGCGGGGGCATTTTCCTTCTTAGCCCGATTTAGACGTCCACACAGAGCGGTTTGTTGACGTGCCGGCTTTGTTACCCTGATGTTCTCTTGTCAGTTTTTATGTCAAGGTAATGCGTCCAAGGGATCCGGATTAAGTTTCACATTGGTGGAATTAGTAATGTGAAATTAATTGAGCATGAGTGTAGTAGCAGTTTGCCCGAGCTGAATGATTTTCATGGCATTCATCTTTTTCTGAATATTTTTAAAATTTGATCATTGTTACAGGCTACAGTGCAAATTTCAGACAACAAATCTGTACAAATTCCTGAATATGCGTCATTTTAAAAAGCACATGAGACAGTGAGGGATAAAGAGACTTTACTTTACAGATCCCGGCATATTGACGCCTCAGTCCTGCCGGCTTCTTCATCTTGTTTTGACCTCACGGGGGGCCTCGTGGCGATAACCGGCCCTCGTGGTTCTGCTAATCTCGTTATCCTGCTGCGGCAAGTCAGCAAAGACTCCCCAAGGCCCATTCATTATCACCGCATTTAGAGCACTGTCACTCCAAAACCAGAGCGGAGGCAACAACCCGATCCAACATGGGATAGAGAACACACGCTACGCAGACATGCGATTTAGACAAACAAGAGAATCCTTGCATTGTGTGTGTAGACATTTGCATACCCTGCAGTCTCGGGGGACCCAGGAGAAATCCATCGAGTTTGATGGAGGTTGGTTATTACAGGAGCATGAGAGGATGCTTTGAACTGCCAAGTAGCGGGTTATGGGGGGGGGGAGGGGAGAAGAAACGTACAGCCAGAGGTGGGGCGTGAGAGGTAATATAGAGAAAAGGCATCTGGTTGGGAATACAAATGGGTCCCATAACTCTGGCCAACCTCCCGCAGCAGCAGGACTCCATGTGCTGAATCCACGGCATCGCAGTGAATGTGAACTAGAAGGCTGGCTGATCGATAAATCTGCTGGCTCCGTGCTGTATTTTGTCATGGTCTCTTTTGCTTCCACATCTCCAAAACGCCGACGTATTTTCAGCCACGCTGTAAGCCCCAATCTTAACGGAGGAGCAGGGAATTAGGCGCCAAAGGCCAGGCAAGCGGTTCTGACCGTCCACAATGGAATGTAAATGATACCTTATCAAACGGCAGCGGGCTGAGCCTCCCCCCTCGAGACAGATACACGGCGCGCACTCTCGCAGCTTTCACGAGAAGAGATATCTACACCTGTAATGACAAATTGAACGGGGCTCAGAATCGGAGAGCAGCACATAATCACACTCTAGGCATTGTGTAAAAAAGGTGAAGCTCTCTGCTTGGCCCCTGCCAGCGTAACTCTTATATCTGCAGAGGAATCTCATAATTGCGAAAGGTTTGCTCATACGTATTTTTAAATCGTGAGTTGTATGGGGACAATATTGCGGGTGAGATTTAGGGTTGTAACTGATTGGGCTTTTCAATTGAAGCTGCGCAAACCCTTCTTTCACATTAACAATGGATACAATGTGGAAGTGACAAGTGAACCCACACAGAATGAATAAGCGACTCCACGTTTTATACGTCCCGGCTGGATGTATAAATACAACACTTAGCATTTCCAATTAAAAGCCAATGATACCGTATGTCCCCGATGTGATCACTGCTTGTTCCCGGAGCTTGCATGTTGTCCCTGCAGGTTTATCCATAATCTACTCTACACATATTTCTTTTTATTAACTGAGGACGTTTTATAACTGTAAAGTAACCTTGGGTTGCTAATGGAAAAGTGCATTCCAATAAAACAAATACTTTCTCTCCTGTTTGCATCTACAATCACAAAACTGAAGGATACACGTAATCGTTCATGCAATAGTTTGAATTTAATTTAATTGCCCATCCTTTATTCTTAGTATTTTAGCAATACCCTACTCAGTTCTGCTCCTACAGCCCTATATTGATATTGTAGGCTAACCGTGCCTTTATGTTGCCATTTACTGCTCTCTTGTGACACATTTCATTATTGTTGCTTAAAGATTGATAGCCTTTTCATAGAAAGCCCTGCTGTAAGAATATTTGTATCTGGACTCTACGGAGATTGAGATACTATCATTTTATACCCGTTTTGGCTTCTGGGCGGCTAAGGGAGCTGGCGCTCTTCTCCACGTGCGGCCAGTCGGATCCAATAAGCTTTGACGAATGGTTGAAACGTGCAAATCAGCCGGACTTCCAGATCCAGATTTTCGCTCCTCCTGGTCTCTCTGGAGTAGTTCAGCTTCACTCTATCAAGTACAACTTTCCATGATTACATTTCTCATCATGTCTAGTCAGTCACCACTGAGACTGAAAGGGCTGCTGAAGTTTTAACCAAATGCAGGTAATAATGTAGTCCTCCCTTTTGTCAATGACCTTTTCAGTAGGATGCTGTAAAAAAGACCATAAACCAGGCATGCTCCACTTGGCCCAGTAATTAGCAACATAACGGACATTTGTGTCTCAGCCTTTTGGGGGAATCCTCCCCTTTCTTTTCATAAGAGAGCCCTATACGTTTGTTTTGATGCTTTGGTGCACTCTGGGATATCAGAGTGCACACATTGAAAGTACTCGCAAAACGTCAAAATGTGAATCATTTTATTTCATTGTGATGTGGAGGATTGTCAACAACCAGCCACCTTTGTCATGAGCTATTGATCTGGTTTAGAGTAAACGCCGGCGGAGGTCAGGCGGGAGCTGCAGCTCAGCCTACGTGCACCCAGGTGGCCCTGTGCCTACCGCAATTCACCACCAATCCAATTTCCCTCTTTAGAAAAAAAAAACAGCTGCAGTGGTTTCCGGAGCACCTGCTTCTGGTTCATATTAAAAATCATAACTGTGTCTTTCTATGAACGGCTACAATGCCGGTCATTGACACACTGCAGACACAAGAGCCCTCAGCGAACAGTCACCTTAATCTCACAGTGTAATGCAGGACAGGAATGCAGGCAAA